ATTCCCTGTAGATTTGCAGAAGAAAATACAACACACAACAGCGTATGGGCGCGCGCATCTTCAGCAGGTCTTAAGCCCACCTTTAGCAGAAATATGGATACATTGGTGGTTTTAAAAGCTGATACGGTCTTTCTTGGGTGAAATGTTCCTTACTCTAAGATTAATGCCTGGGGCGGAAATCGCACTATTTCAAGTCTCCCGAAGCAGAGGCGATGCATGAGTTGGCCGGCGTCGTGGCTTCGAACGAGAAACCCCTTAAATCCAAGGTGGGCATCGCGGACCATTTTCGCCACTGGCACCACGGCCCGGAACCTCTCAATGAAGAACTACGTTGTTTATTGTTCTACTCGCCGGATTGGCGGCTGCGCTTTTGAAGGAAGTGAACTGCATTTAGAAAACTGTCCATTGCAATAGCTGCTTTGAAAAGCCCGCCCTGCAGGAGATTGGCTATCCGTCCACCAGCGCCCTCCAAGCAGAAACGTCTCTTTAGTTTGAAATTGCCGCCACCGCCAGAGCTCTGTATGCGTCAGATGCTCCGTTCATTTCCTCTCCCTTCTGTTTAAAAAGCCACTATTTACACATTCAGCACTCAGTAAACGTTCTGTACAATTCCTATCATCCACCGCCTTAAGAACGCATGATGATCCGAACGGAATTCCTTGGTTTGCTATGCAAAATGAATTCGAGTAAAAAAAATCATTTTGGGCTCTGGGACTTGATGCAATGTTCCCAGTTTAGATCCATTCACACGGGTCGCCCAAGCGTCTGCTTTTCATTGTATTGTAACAGCTTAAGGAAGCTACTTTTAATGTGTATCTTGTGTGACTGTAACGCGTGCTTCAGTGGGGGAAAGTAAAGTATTTCCTTTTAGCAAGTTGACAAGCTCTTTCCATGAAAAGGTGGGTGGCTCTTAAAAGAGCCTTTGGTGTCGTTGTGGGCGGCGGGGCAGCGGGCGGGCCGGGGGGCTCTACTTGCCCTTGGCCTTGTGGCTCTCGGTCTT